TGTGTGTGTGTGTGTGTGTGTGTGTGTGTGTGTGTGTGTGTGGTCAATGGCATGCTTCTTTTTGTGTATTAGTATGAATTTTATTTTGTTGCTTTTCAGCAGTTTTTGCAAAAAGTGTGTGTTTGTATCAGCATGTCTTTGTGAGGTGTCACAAGCTGGTTTCTCACTGCAAAAATTTCCAACTGCCGTCAGCTTATTTATTTTTTTTCAGTTACAGTTGGATCGTTTCACATGGGAGTCGATCAGTTTGAAAGTCGTTTCCACCTGACCTCAGTGTAATCATTTTTTTTCTTTCTATGCTATAATAATATAGATTAAAATTGAGACACTGGGCATGACATTGATTGGGCTCCAATATTTAACAGACATCATCTGATTCTAAGTCATTTGTGAGGCGCTCCTATTTTTCACTGACTGATCCAGATGTGACCCAGCACAGAAGGAAAGATTTTCTTTTTTTTTTTTTTCCAATGTAACGCAGAAATCAAACAGAATGTGAGAGGAGATGGTGACTTGTAATGCTGATCCTGAGCCTTTACTTTTCTCCTTTTGAAATCAGAAAACCTGGTATTTTGACCTGGACCCATCCAGAGTTAGGGTCAGTGGTTACTGTGGCAAAGAAGAGGCTCTTCTCTCTCTCACACTGCCAGACAATGGTGCCAGCCTGCAGTTCAAATTCAAAAAGGTACAACACTCATTCACTGCTGGGTGAACTCTCCGTGTCATCCTCATGCCTGCTGTGGATACCTTTCTTCATATCATAGTCAGTTTTACTCAGTTTAGGTCTGCCTTATCCACGTTCACATCGAGGCTGTAATGTTCTGTTGTTTATGAATCAGCTCAAATGTTTTTGTTTTTGTCCCCAGGAGAAGACTGTTTTCTACGTCATCGAGATGAATGCACATTTGTCTCCCATGCCTGTCTGCAAAGACTGTTCCAGTAAGAGCCAAAGGAAAAGACGCAGCAAACAGCTGGTGTGTGATTCAGATGCCCAGCATAAACTGAAAATTTAACTACTCTTGTGCTTCATCCTCTTCCCAACAGACAAGACTTACAAAGGTGTGTTGGCCCATGAAAAGCTGTTCAAAACTGCTAACGGTCAAAGCTTCATGTGCAAGTCTGAGAATCTGCTTTTGATGTCGTCTGAGCTGAAGATCAAGCTGGTTCCTGTGCAGATGCAGGCCTTCAACCTGTCTCAAGGACAGTATGGAAAAGGTGACTAGCTTTCACAGCAACAAATGAATGGAAACCAAATATCTCCTGCCCAAAGTTAGGTTTTTAGAGTTTACATCCTCAAATGTAAATAAGTGGCACTTTTTAAACGGAGTAGCCAAGACAGACAATCTCAGGTCAAAGGAGTCCAACGTAAAATGCTTCTTACTGTCTGTTAAGCTCCTCCTCCTCAGCGCAGCTTCATTCTAAGACTGTTTAACCCATGTTGGCTGAGAATCTCTCAGAGAGGAAGTTGAGGCAGAAAAATGAACAAATTGGACAACGTCTTACAACCCTTCAGGTTTACAGCCTTTTTTGTGGTCAGTATAGGTTCCCATGTTTGAGAATGAGAGCTCTGTTATGATCTGTGTGTAAAGACATCCCATTACATGTTAAAAGTTTAATATTAGACATTAAATTTCTTATTGAAAATAATAAAAAAAAAGAAGGTATTTTACTTAAATCCTACACATAATTGCTGCTCTGTTTCTCTCCATGGTTCAGAAGTGGAGTGCTGGGCTGACTATAACAAGAGAATCATTCCCATCATCATCGGGGCAGCCGTCGTGTGTCTCATTCTTGTCAGTTTGATGAGCTTCCTTGTGGTCAGAGATCGCCGCAGAGATGGATACGAACGGATTTGAATGGCGAAGAGTTCACTGTGAAACTGGACTGGGGGTGGTGGTGGGGGTGCTATTGGCTTGTTCATACACTTGCTCTTTCACTTGTTCTTTTCCTAAACCTTCATTTGGCTTGTCACATTCTTCTGTTAACAGCAAAGACGGTTTGTCTGGTATTTACAATTTGAATAAATAAAACTTTTTTTTAAAATGTTGTCTTTCATGTCTTTCATTAATGTCTTGTAATTTTAATTGATTTTTTTTCCACTGCATGTTCAATATTCGTTTGAAACAAATATTGTTCAAAATTTAAGAGTGGAATATTTTTAATCGCACTAGAAAGCTATAAATAATGCCATTTAAAAGCAAATGGGTGCGAGAGTGCAGACTAACATCGTTATTAAATAGTCTCTATTCATCATACTTTGCCCCCCTTTCTTAAGGTTACAAACTAATACTCATTGCATTATGTTGTATTTTACTGCACAAAAATTAAAAATAATACTTGAAATAATTTAAGGGATACATAACAAAATAAATGCATTCACCGTTCTGAATGCAGTAAAATTTGTACTTAGAGTCCCTGTTAACTTTTAATTCTCAAGCTTTTCGACAGAGAAATGCTGCCATCTGCTGACGACTTTTGATAACTGCAGCTTATTCACCGCCTCCTTATCCTTCCCGTCTAATTGGCTGTCGCCCCTACGAGTCCTTGGAGAGGTCAAAAAAAATGATAACGAAATTTACCGGAGAGTCGCTGTGGTTTTTGAGATATACAGTTATTCGATCACATTTCTCTTGTTGGCTTATCCAGTCCAGCACCGAGACCTTTTTTTTTCAGGTGCTCATTCAGCTAGCTAGCACAGCTAGCCTCAGCAGCTGGTGGCTATGGCTGCAGTTATTTTAAGTTTCCCAACTCTGCAGGGCCTGCGGATATTCACGCAGTGAGTACCTAAGAGCACTGAAGGGCTGTTTTGTCTTATAGAGGGTTCGACAATTAGCGCACTCGTTTTTAACGATAGCTTACAGGTGTCAATTTGGGAGGCTATCTAATGTTATTCTCCGAGCTAAGCACACGGCGCTAGCATTAAGCCTGTGGACACGACTTCTGACCTGCAGAAAATGTTATTTGCATTCAACACCGAGACTCTGTCCTGATATATATGAGAATGGACCAAGGTTAAATGGCTAGCAAATTGTCTGCTAGCGTTGCTAATGGTGCTAGCACAACATATTTGTGGGAGCAACCTCGCATGCTGTCTAACTAGCTCAAATTAGCTTGGAGTTTGTTTCTGACTGCAATGTGTTTCTTGAATGCGTATTGTAATGAACTGCCTGTGCCACTGCTGTGTTGCTCTAGCAGCAGCTCAGCCTATGTAGTATCGAGTGGTGCTGAAGTTGTTATTTCTGTCTCTCCACAGGAAGCTGTCATGGAGCACGAGAGGCGTGAGGCTTGTTTCAGGAGGTGAGGAAGCATAAATATACATGCAAAACTTCCAAAAGATTGAGTAACCACTAAGAGTGATGCAAAAAGTCCAAAAATCACATGCACTACACAGAAAAGCAACATGCAGCCATTTCAGGAGCTGATAGTGTTCAGCATGTTTGTTTGATTAATCTCTGAACTGATCGCGTTCCAATTTTACAAATACTGACTTGCACACACTGTACGTCCAAGTCCTTCACCTTGCTGAGGTTGTTTGGAGCAGTGATGTTTGTCTTTTCCAGGGGTGAGAAGGATAGAAAAGGTGCTGATTGCCAATCGAGGAGAGATTGCATGCCGTGTGATGCGTTCAGCCAAGAAGATGGGTGTACGCTCAGTGGCGGTGTACAGTGATGCAGACACACACTCCATGCATGTAGCTATGGTGAGACACTGGATCCTTTTACTTTGTAAGAAGTAGTTGTTTATAATTTCCTGAAGCTGCCTTTAATTGATAAAATATGACATTGTTTTTGTTTTTTAAACCTGTATTTGCTTTGTTATTATTCAAGGCAGATGAAGCCTACCATATTGGCCCTGCACCCTCCCAGCAGAGTTACCTCTCTATGGACAAAGTTTTGGAAGTGGCCAAAAAATCTGGATCACACGTAAGGAATTCTTTTCATTATAGTATTTAGCCTTCTTTAATCACTTATGTCTGATTTCTGTGTTGTAACCGTTTTTTGTGTTTCCTTTTTAAATCTACTTATTTGCTGCTGACATTTTGTATCTGCAGGCGGTCCATCCTGGCTATGGTTTTTTGTCAGAAAACACAGAGTTTGCTGAGGCATGTAAACAGGAAGGAATCATCTTTATTGGGCCTCCCTCATCTGCCATCAGAGATATGGGCATTAAAAGGTTTGGTCTCTTTGCTGTAACCCAAATTTATAGGAAAGATGAATAATAACCATGTGTTTCAACTCATGTGTTTTATTTTACTTTGTTTTTCAGCACATCCAAGCATATCATGTCAGCTGCTGGAGTGCCAATTATAGGTGGCTACCATGGAGAGGACCAATCTAATGAGAAGTTGCAGGCAGAGGCTGTCCAGATTGGATACCCTGTGATGATCAAAGCAGTTCGTGGAGGAGGGGGGAAGGTGAGAGGATGCATCAAGTCAAGCTTTTGTCCAATCCTGGCAGATCAGCTGATCTCAGTGCCAGCCTTTATCAGCTGATACACGTCAACACCGTGACAGATTGACATTAAGTTGGGCCCAGAACAGAGTTATGCTTTGAGTTAGTCAGTGGTCTTTAAACTCTTGCCACCCTAACTCATCTGTCTTTAAAATTTTGCAGGGCATGCGTATTGCACGCTCAGACTCTGACTTCTTGGAGCAGTTGGAGTCAGCACGGCGGGAAGCCAGAAAATCCTTCAATGATGATGTCATGCTGATCGAGAAGTTCGTGGAGGACCCCAGGTAACACATTTAACTGTTAACCAGGCAGTTTTCAGCACCACCGTGTGGCCAAAATGTTGTCTTGTTTTTGTGATGGAGAGGTAGGGCTGTGACTAAAGATGATTTTGGTAGTCAACTAGTTTGCCAGTTCTTCTTCGATTAGTCAACAACAGTTTTAATAACTCTGAACTCCACTTCCTGTGGGCAAACCTCCTGTTCTAGGCTCTGCCTGCTCAAGTCTACCCACCTGTAAATATCACTCTGTTGCAAATTAGAATAATGACCCAGGAAACATGAATTTGAAAATAATCAAATGTGTTTTAAAATAACTCAAAAGGACCATCAGAATAAAAATGAAATAAGTAAAAATATTTGGGAATGCAAATTAAATTGCTAGTAGTATTTAACAAATATGTCTTCTGTCCATAAGTTCGAATAAAGCTTCAAATTAAATCACAATAATTTTTTTACTCAGTCTGAAATCAGAAGTTTTCAGAGTTTAGAGATGATTCAGTTTATGAATTTATGATTGGACATGCTCTCATGTTTGATATGTTGTTCCCAGCTGCAGATGATAACCAGGCTAACATGACTGTCATGACTGTGCATGAACCTCTTCACAGGACAAACTCATCTATGCGCATGTGCTTAATACTAGTAAAACAGAATTAGAAAAGACAGTTACTAATCAAAAATGTGGTTGTATGTCATAGTTTCTTGGTTGATGCACTGTTCAACTGTTTATAGACATAATTAATTGATATTGACCCACAGATTAACTACCTAACGTTAGGTGGAAGAGGAAAAAAAAAAAAGTAGCAGGCAGTGAGTTTCCGACAGATAAGCTATTATAGAATAGAAATATCCTTTTTTGTCCCTCACTGGGGATATTCACGATAACATAAAGATTACTGGACAATCATTAACATAAACAAGGTATCAACAAGATGCACTAGTGTAACTCCCCAAACTGACCCATTCAGAGTTGACGTCATAGCTCCAGGGTGCCATCGCTTTAAATGCTGGTGCTCTGCAGTAGTGCTGTCGTGCTCAGCTGCGCAGGCTGCATTCAACTTTGTTTTCTGTGAAATGCTTTCACATTCTTTTAAACTGTGAAAGCATTTAAAAAAAAACGTTTTCTTCGGTCCTCCTGTTTTGTCTTTCTGCTATGTTCTTCTTCATTAGTATCAAGTGCCGTCGGCAGAGGCTATGTACTGTTCTCATAGATTTCTGTAGTGTATTGCATAGGGATGGGTATTGATAAGATTTTCACGATTCCGATTCCATTTTCGATTCTGTTTAACGATTCGATTCTTTATCGATTCTTTTTAAAAAGGAGAACACTAAGGTCGATTAGCTTAGAACTTTGTTTTATATCTTCTCTTTGAACAAGATAGAAATTTAGGAGTAACATGGCCTTACAAACCCAGCAGTGAGATCTTAAGAGATCTACAGCCTACGGCTCTTCAATGGGGTGTCACAGGGTCCCCGGGGAAAAAAATTGTAAATGTAAAATAAATATTCTTCTGTAGCAACAACAAAGTATAACATAAATTATTCTGTAGCAATTACACAAGAATATCCAGTAATGTCTCTGCCTACAATTAAACACATTCATTTACCGTAAATCGGGGGCATCTGCTGTGGCAAATGGGTGCAAGCCTTTGACCACAAACTGAGTCACTGCTCGGTGACATTCGTCTATCCTGGCCTGAAAGGAGACGCTACCGGTAGACTGCAGCGAGAACTGCCAGCATCTGAGCCAGCCAGACTCTGTCTTCTCATCATGGTCACCTAAATGCACAGTAATGGCAGGTTTTGTAATAAGGCAGATCGCGCTAACATAATATGCACTGTTAGTTGATTATTTACCTGCCGCATTAACGGGAGAGGACGTGCAAACGTTACCGCTGCTGCTGGGTTGAGATTCACGAGTCCGGAGCGGAATTAAAAACACGACATTCATTTAAGGTATCGGTGTTTTGTGAGCAAATGCTTTTGCATATTCGTAGTGTTTCCTCCCTTAAATGAAATATCTACTTTGCAAGTATTGCAAGTTGCCCTGTTGTCATCGGTTCTCGTAAAGTATGACCAAACTTTTGAGCGTTTGAGCCGCCATGTTTCCTGCCAGGTAATTGATGCTCCGCAACGTGGTGACGTCATTCGGGGCGACTGGAATCGATAAGGGAATCGTTTGCAAAAATGGCAAACAATTCCAAGGATTTGAAACAGTGGGAACCGGTTCTCAACAAGAACAGATTTCGATAACCATCCCTAGTATTGCAGTTTTAAAAACAAATTTACGTGGTTATAGAATATGATGTGTCAACAGTAAAATTCCATGTTGACAAGTTTTTATAGTTCTCATATTCCTGTGTCCTGAAGACATGTGGAGGTCCAGGTGTTTGGGGACATGCATGGCAATGCCGTCTATCTGTTTGAGAGGGACTGCAGCGTTCAAAGGAGACATCAGAAGATCATAGAGGAAGCACCAGGGGTGAGTGAGTGATAAAGTTTGAACAAAGTTAAGGAGAAAGAATACATTTGGATCAACACATCTAACTGGCCTGAGGTTAACCTCGTGATAGGTCCATCGGCTATTTCTGGAAAAATAATTCTTCTTGTTTTTCCATTTAGTGAAGTAAATAATAGCTTGTTTCCCACTTAAATGAACATGTTTCTGTGTTTTGTGGCATTTTTTTTCAGCCTGGTATAAGCCCTGAAGTGAGGAGAAAACTCGGAGAAGCAGCGGTTAGAGCAGCCAAGGCTGTCAACTATGTTGGAGCAGGTAAAACACTCCCTCTCCTGCATTCATCGCCCCAGAGTGATCCAGACTCACAGTAAAACAGCTTTTGCACAAGCAGGGAGAAAAAGGGCCATCATTCTGTTTGTCTCTCTGTGCAGGTACGGTGGAGTTCATTATGGATGCCCAGCACAACTTTTATTTCATGGAGATGAACACCAGGTTGCAGGTGGAGCATCCTGTCTCTGAGATGATCACTGGAACTGACCTGGTGGAGTGGCAGCTCAGGGTGAGGAAGGAGGGAGGAACGGGAGAGCAGAATGTTTTTGAGGTGACAAAATGATTTGTGAAATTCTTTTCCAGGTGGCAGCAGGGGAGCGCTTGCCTCTCCTTCAGGAAGACATAATGCTAAGGGGACACTCATTTGAGGCTCGTATCTATGCTGAAGACCCAAATAATGACTTCCTTCCTGGGGCGGGGCCTCTGCTGCATCTCTCCACTCCCCCACCAGACCAACATACACGTATAGAGACTGGCGTCAGAGAAGGTAGGAGTCAACTATATATACAAATAGGGTAAAGAATAAATTTATTTTTCTTTTTTAGGGTATTAGTTTCTATGCTAAGGGTAGATGTTGTCCTAACGATGGCGGATTGCTCAGTTCTCTCAAGTGTGGTGCCAAAGCTTTAGCTCTGTCCTGGAGCTCCTCACTGCTGAGCCCCACATATTACTGGCCCACAACATCAGAAATGGGAATCTGTTGCAGTAAGGCACTAATAAAGTTAAATGGTGGGAGCTTTTTATCTGTGTTTGGTTTCAGGGGACGAGGTCTCGGCACATTATGACCCAATGATTGCCAAGTTGGTGGTGTGGGGAGAGGACCGATCTGCTGCCTTAAAAAAGCTGCGGTATTGTTTACGACAGTACAATGTAAGATACAAATGCACACTCTTAAATGATGCTTTGCATGTCGTGCTGCTGATTTTTTTTGAGCACAGGATTTAAATTTTTTTTCCTATAGCCACTGTATGTGCGAGCTTCAAAAACCGGTGCCGAACACTTGAAAGTTATGTTTTTGCGTCCTGTCTGTTCGTCTGTGCCCTCAGATAGTAGGACTAAACACCAACATAGATTTCCTGCTGAATCTTTCGGGCCACCCAGAGTTCGAGGCTGGAAATGTGAGCACTAGCTTCATCCCCCAGCACTACGCTGAGCTCTTCCCCACTCCGAAAGCACCTTCTGGGGCAACAATCTGTCAGGCAGCCCTCGGCCTGATACTACAGGAGAGGAACCACACACTGGGATTCACCCAGAGCTCCACTGGTGAGGAGACAGAGATGATATTGTTTGGATCAGGACAAATTACAGCTGAAAATCTAAGTCCTGTGCATCTGTGTTTTCCAGATCCTTTCTCCCCATTTGGCTCTAGCTGTGGTTGGAGAAACAACATCCTGTTTAACAGAAATGTGACACTACAGGTGGGAGATAAAAGTAAGTGACAGCCATACTGTGACTCTGTTGCCAGATGTTAAATCGCAATGACTGGCAGGTTAATACAAATGTCTGATAGGGTCAGATCATGAATTTCTGAGATTTTATAAGGAAAAGGTCAACCTTACCATGTGTGTCGGTTCTGCAGAAATTCTTTTCTAAACATTATTTAACATCGTACGTCAGGAGAAGGTTGTGATTTTACTTTTTATTCAGTGTGAAACTAGTGACAGTAATCTGTGATAGCCCACCTAATGGATTCCTTCAAAGGTCTCACTACATTTATTATGAGTCTAGACTGATGGCTAGCCCCCAGCAGTCTGAGCCTGTAGCAGCATAACTAAGGCAAGCCTTCAGGGTCACCTGATCTAGCCCTAACTGTGCGCTTTATTAAAAAACGAATGGATTGAGTCTAATTTTAAAAATAAAGGGTGTCTTCCACAGACTGGGTCCACAGGACGGGTGCCTGCTTCCCTTTGTACTTTTAGAAACTCTAGGAACCGCAAGTAAGCTTGCAGTCTGAGAGCAAAGTGCTCTGTTTGGACACTATGGTACTTGGACTTAGGCTGTTAAGATATGGTGGGGCCTGATTATTGACATGATTTTAAATGTAATTGTGGATTTTTCTTGGAGCCAATGAAGAAAAGGTAATATGGGGGAAACCTGATCTCTTTCTAATCCCCGTTTGTACTCTTACCTGTTATGTTCTTTTAGAAGAAGCCATCCAGAGTAAAATTCTGGTTGGATATCATGTTTTTAAAACATTTGGGGCCAAATACAGTATCCTCAATTTTATCTGAATTTAGAAGAAAATACAGGTGAGCCAGGGTTTTATGTCTTTAACATACGCTTGTAATTTAATTATTCTTTTAATAAGGTTTCACAGATCAAGCTGGGTATCATCTGTGTAGCAATGCAAATGCGTGCAGTGTTTTCTCACTGACTTCTGTGTGTCAGGAGGAGTCCTTGTGTACATGACGTGAAGCACACTTAGGTCCATATACTCACTGACAAGTTTAGGGTTTGTTTTTTTTCCCCCCCCTTTTACTGAAACATATTCTAATCATAGTTATACGGTAGACATGGACATAATATGTAGACTCTCCATTTTCATTTGGGGGTATCCACATTCAAACTGGATGACGTGTTTAGGAGTTTCAGCTCCTTAATATGTGCCTCTTTTTAAAGTAATTGAACAGTGGGGTCACAAGGCTATTTCATGGGCAGGTGTGGGCAATTCCTTCCTTATGTCAACATCAATTAAGCTGCAATGAAAGCTGCTGCAGTAAAGACTTGACAGAGTATTAAAAAGGAGGAAACCAAGCATCTGGTGAAGTCCATGAGTTCAGGACTTATTTTCAGTTATTTAATTTGTTCAGTTACTTTTGAGCCCCTTAAAAGAAAGAAATTGTTAAAAAAATTGCTTTAGTTCCTCAGATTTTTTTTATGCAATCTTTTTGTTTAACCCATCGAATTATTGGTAATTAGTTGCGATGTACAGAACCAAAATTAGTAAACGTTATCTCTGTCCAAATATTTATGGACCTAACTGTAGTTACTGTAGATGCAATTCAAAGCAGTGCAGCATGTTTCCTTTAACACTAACAGCATAGTCTAGACTAGTCTAGTAAAATGTTGTCATCAGAGGTGTCAAGTGCTGCACTGAGGTGTTTCTGCCGTCAGAGGCCACAGGAAGAAGCTGCTTCTGTGCTGTGATGAGCTCTGAAACCTGACTGAAACTCGCGCCTCTGCAGATGGTCTGTTAGCTGCTTGACAACTACTCTTTCAAGGATTTTTGAGATAAAGGGAAGGTTGGATATTGGCCTGTAATTAGCTAACACAGCTGGATCACGTGATGACTTTTTAAGTAATGGTTTAACTACTACCAGCCTAAAGGCCTGTGGTACATAAAAGGTGAATGTAAATTAGTCACATTTAATTAATGGTGAAATTTCTTTGAGTCTTGTAGGAATGGGGTCTGAAAGTCAAGGAGTAGTTAAAGGTCAACTCGGAAAGATCGACAACAGTTATTAATTAGTTCTTGGCTCAACAGAGATCTGGATTTTATATTTGCAGAAATGCATATATGTGCTCCACATGTGGGCATGGATACACACTGGTTCAGACTGGGGGCATGTAAGCACGAACATCTTTGCCCAGTTTCCCTTATTTAACAGAAATTTTAAGCTTTTCAATTATTTATGATCATTAGATTAAACAAAGATCTGTGTTTAAATGTGTGTGCAAGTAAATGGAAATCTAATCAACAAAACTGATATAAAAAGAGTGATTTTTATTAGTGATGCTAGTGGCTTTCTTTTTGCTTCTGATTCGTCTTTATGCAGTTGATACAGATACACGTGTTTAAGCATGTGCGTGTGGTGACTTCAGGCTATGGGTTTTAGTCACTGGACTGTTTTTGGAGGTTTTAAATCTAAAGAACGACAGGAATGAATGAAATTGTAGAAATGTGTTAATTTGTAGTCGAGGACAGTTGGGACTGACTCATAATCCGATTTAATGATTGTGTAAAAAATTAAATTAAAGCCCGTCTGGTCTGTGACACATTATTAAGGAACTTGTATTCATTATTCAGTGTTTCTATTAAAAAATGTCACCGAAAAGCTAAAAATAAAGCAGACAGCAGCAGCTGAGGGACGTATTTAACTAAAGACTTTGTGTCAGTCTCTCCCGCCTCTATCTCAAGACTGTTTTTAACACTTTTTTTGTTTGTTTTTACCATCTAGAAGTTGATGTGGTCATCATGTACAACCAGGATGGGAGCTACAGTATGCAGGTGAGCTGAGAAAGTTAACTTTTTTTTTTGCTACAAATACTTAATTCTGTTTTATAATCTGTATATTTTGGGTATTTATTAAAAGTTTTCTTTTTCCAAATTTGTAAATAACAGTAGTACAATGTGGGATGTCGGTGCTTAAACAAACCCAGGTTACTTCCCACAAATGCATCACTTCTGCTTTCTTTTTAGATTGGTGACGAGGTGAATCACGTCACAGGGGAGGTGGAGATGGAAGGCGGGGCATCGTTCCTGCACTGTACTGTCAATGGCGTCGAGTCCCGCCCTAAACTTGTGATCCTGGACAACACGGTGCACCTGTTCTCCACTGTATGTATCTGACATGCACAGTATACAGATTTCTATTTTGCATATTCCTCAAAACCACTGAAATCCAAGTTATCATCTATCATGTTGCTTGCAGTGTCTTCTATGCAAAACTCTTTGATGTTTGGTGACTGATGGCCCAAACAAGGCTTAAATGTTTCCCAAACATAGAAAAGTGACTTAAACAGAAGTGGAGGAAAAAGTGGCCTTTTTAACCTTTTTTTTTTTTTGCCTATGCAAAAGCTCCTTCTGGAGGTTTAAAGATGTTTTCGTCTCACCTGTCGCCGCGCAAACTGTCTCTGTTTCCACTCTGACATCACTCTGACAGTCTGACATCAGGGGGAATTAAAAACCTGTTTCGGTCCTCTCACCTCAGCTGTCAGCGAGCTGTCACTGCACTTTCTGACGTCTTTACCTCTGCGCTGCAGGAGGGAAGCTCTCAGGTGTCTGTTCCCGTGCCAAAGTATCGGGCTGGTGTTGGCGGTTCAGGAGCTCAGGGTGGAGCCGTGGCCCCCATGACTGGAACTATAGAGAAGGTGACTTTTTCTTTTGCGTAAAGGATATTCGTGTTTTTCTAAAGTTTACTTTTAAGGTTCAATTTGAAGTTTTACTCGTTTTTTGTGCTGTTAAAAAGCTGTCCAGTAAAGTTTCTTTACCAGTTAAAATGCAGTCTTAGTCAATTTCAAGCTGAAGAGCTTATGTATATAACTTTAGACGTTACAGTCAGACAATCCACTCTGAATGTGTCAGTGCTGAACCAGTATGACACGAGATGTCCTAATATGTGGAAATGACACACACAGTGCGGATGAAAAATTCCATACAACTCTTATTTTGTTCTTCAGCTTTATTTTGTATCTGGACACATAAAAATACATAAATCACAGCCACTATTCTGACATCAGTAACCCAAAGTCCATGACATAATTTCCTTAGGGATAAATAAAGGATTCTGATTGATTAATGGAGCCTAAGGCCACAAACTCCATCCAGTCAGGGTACAAAAGTTTGGCATTTTAGGAAATATGCTGACCTTTTTCTGTTCTTTTTGCTGATTATTAGCTAAAAGATCGATGCCACTGTCATGGCTGTGAGGATAAATGTTGAGCCAGTAAGTGGTTTAGACCTTAGTACTTTCTGGTATTTAAAAAACAGACCCACATCTACTGTACGGGTGCCTTTTAGGCTTATTACTATAATTAGACAGCTGTAAGACATAAAGGTTCAGTCTGTTTATTATTAGCTTTACATGCTTCAGAGGGTGAATATTTCCTAGTCTTGATGATCCCACCTCTAACCTTTGTTATACAAAGGTTAGAATAGTATCAGTCTGTTTAGCTTAATTTTGATAGGAAAATAATCACATTTCTATTTTGGTATGTTTTTATCTGGGACTCTGCTAGAATATCTTTGCATGATCCATAGTTTGGAGCTCTTATATATCTTTCTGGGCCTTGGTATATCTCTTTAGTTCATCCACTGTTTGAAAAAGTAGCTTTAGCTTCTTTTGATTGGCTGCTGCTTGAACAGCATCAGCATGTAATCATGTACAGCAGAAAATAAGGACAATCATAGTTTGTGCCCCAGTTTTTCTTCAACTCACAACAAGGTAACAAATAAACTTTGCTTAATGTTGTCAGCTTCTTTTAACACCTGCTGTAAATCAGCAGACAACAAAATGTCTCTGCTTCATGCCTCCAGTTAACTCGCTGCTCAGACAGATGCAAATGTTGCTTAACAACAAGTTAAGCAACTGGTGATGACTGGAGAGTGATAGTAAATCCCTCTGCCTTGTTTATTACATTTATGGGGACATGTCTGGGTGTATTACTGCTTCCCTCAAATCCACTAGCAGCCAGAGCAATGAGACTGTGGAGGAGGCATGAAGGAAGAAGTCATAATACTGTGTGTTTTACTTCTTTTTTATTTCTGAGTGACATTATTGGTTTGGTTTTATTGTATTGGTTTGTGATGAAACCCCCGTGAACGAGTCACTTTTCCTGTGTCCAGGTGCTGGTGAAGGCCGGAGATAAGGTGACTGTGGGAGACCCACTGATGGTCATGATAGCCATGAAGATGGAGGTGAGGCACTGATGATTCTTGCCTTTTAGCCGGTGTACACACACTGCTGAGTTTCTAATGATGTCACCTCTTGTATTTGCCTCTGCAGCATACAATCCGGGCGCCAAAGTCAGGTGTGATCAAGAAGGTTCTCTTCAGCGAGGGCTCTCAGGCCAACCGCCACGCTCCTCTGGTTGAGCTGGTGGAGGAGGAAGAGCAGGCGGAGGGAGGCAGCCAGTAAATGCATCAAAGCCACAGTTACACTATAAGGTAGAAGAGGGCTAGCACGTGTAAGAGCTGGAGGGAAAGCTACTCAGTGTGAGCGAGTTTTGGCCTCCCGCAGGATTTAAATCATCTGTTCGACAAAGAGTTTGGGTCAGTCTGAGACAGATGTGGCAGCCGCGTGTTTGCTGGATGTCTTCCTGCTAAAACTTCTATTATGTACAGCGGCTCTTTTTACTCAGCAATTCTTGCCTACATGTCAGCATTTCTCAAAGTTTCGGAGGGCATGAAACCACCGCAGTGGGGGTGTGGATGACCATCGGGGAAATATACAGTCTGCAGTGCAGCAAGTGTGATTTACGCAGAGAGAACAAACAAGTGTTTTATTCCACTAGAAGCTGATCTGGATTCGTCTTGATCGGCAGATCCATATTCTCTTTCTGCTGTCAGTGAATAATCTCTCCTTTCAGTTTTGGTCGGCATCAGGCTTGTCGGAGGTGCAGTGATGGTTAAACCTGGCGAAATCCTGTCTTTGTGTTAGACTGAGTCCTGCCTTTAGTTTCTTTACTGTTTGTGTATTTAAACAATTTCTAGATGAGAAATGAGACTTTTTTTCTATCAAGTACTGTCTGAAGGATTCTTGAAGAAAGTAGGGTTACAACAGAATAATCATCAGTAATTCTAAAAAATGTTGATTTTCAAAATGTATCTGATTATTTACCACAAAAATATCTTTGCTGGGGATTTCTATTGATCTTTAATTGTAATTAAGATGAAAACTAATGAATGAGCAAGGAAAAAAGGCAGTTTGAACATTAGACACAGGCTAGGGGGTTGATTGCAACGCCACAGAGACCTGAAGGGAATAACCTTCGAACATCAGGCAGATCAGGTGAGATATCCCTGTCTGTGTCTCCATATCACAAACATGGAGACAGCGGCGGTGGCAGGTGAGTGCTGTTGATCGTGTAACATGTTTGCTCACAGGTTGTTCTTCCGTCTACGTCCACAGCTCTGTGGCATTTTGGTCACGTTTAGGAAAGAAACGCCTTACTGTAGCAACAAGAGAGTGGGGAGCTTTTCTCTTGAATTTCTGCTCTCGCATTCTCGCCATCGCAGCAGATTAAACCCTCCTAACTTTGACAAGTTCAGCTCATGTCAGGGCACATTAACAGCTTTCTCATTAATGGCTTAAACTCCTCTGAGGAGGCTTGTTACAAGCGCCGACTTATACAGTTGCTGCTGAGTCATCAAACATGTGTCGGTTCCCTGAATTGGCACCAAAAGCTACCACTCCTCGAGCCAGATTACTCTTTGATCAGAGGCTCTTTGCTTCAGTCTGGGCTTTTCAGGGAGGGGTGAAAGAGCATCGCTGTACAGGAAAGGTTGCGTCAAGTTGACAACGTGAGCACAAGTTGTTTTTATTAATTAAAATCTGGCCACTCTGTGCTTCCAGACTGACTCCAAACTCTCCATTATTCACACTCACAATACCTCTCTGTCACAGTTAAAACAAAAAACCACAGGTCTCCTTTAACCCTCCACTCTGCTGCTGCAAGCACTCCAGAGTGCATTCTGTGACGAGTCAGTCTCATGTGCAGCATTTCTGCACGCACTTGTCTCTCGGTTCAGAGTAGCTCCTGAAGGATGAAATGTCAGTCACGGAGAGATTTTGGCGGACAGATGGTTTGCATCCGTGTAAATCCAGTGAGGGAGCGATCTGCCACAGACACGGCGGTGAAGTGGATCGCTCTCTTCTCACCAACCGGTGTGCTTTGAGATCTTGTAGACTAAAACTGTCAGTATGAACACATTTCCTGGATTGTTTGTAGGTGTAAAATAATAAACTAGTCAAATTCTGTAATAAATTTTTTTAAAAGTATAAACTGTCCCGTGTCGTCACTGATGCGCCTGTGTTTTGAGTGTTTGTGGCTGTCGTGTCCTGGCGTCGCCTCCCTCAGAGC